CTGTACAAGGACATGGAGGAAGGTACATATGTGCCCAACTCTGTAAGCAACACCTGGAGCAACCGCAAAAAAGAGGAGAAGGAGCTCATCGACAGCCTGCTTACCCACTTTTCCAAGCAACCCCAGTCCTATTCCAGGACAAAAGTACGAAACAATCCAGGCAAAGTTTTGCACATTTTGATGCTTCTAAGAAGGAATCAGAAAATACGTTACAGCATGCTTAGTAAACAGGGCTTTAACAATTCTGAAACCAAGACTAAAAATGGAATACAAATGCCCCAAAAGTAGTTAATTGTCACCTTCGTGTTCCTGTGATGCCTGTGCAGTGCTGGTAATTCCTCATGAAAGCATCCTAGTCTAGTAAAACTAGAATGGTTGAAGATCTTTAAGGTTTTGAGTGAATTGTTAGAAAGACAATATCTATAGCTAATGGTGGGTTTTGAATAACACTGAGTCTTTGGTGTTGAATGTGTGATGGATGCCACCGCCTTTTTTACTGTTTGCTGCTGTCAGTTTATCCAGAAGAGGGAGCCATTTCAGTGGCTCAGTTCATGTGTTTGTGTTCATTCAGAGGCACACCCATTCAATGTGACAGCCAGAACAGTGACGACACAGTTTTGCATCTCTGTGATCAGTGAATGCATCATGTTATGTCTGATTGCTATTCTCTCTGACACTGCAGGTTCGTCTGCATGGACCAACCAGTCCTCATATGATGAGCTTCCACAGCTTGAGGAGCAACACGCTCTACAAGTAAGCACTACAGAGATTTAAAAAACAAAACAAAGCAAAACAAGAATATGTACCTACAACCACCCTCCCTCTGCCTCAGCTGATGATCACTGTATCCTCCTGTAGGACTGTATGTATAGAGAAGAACAGCATCAACTCCTTGGCTCTGAATGAAAATCCACATTGCAGACATCAGAAGATGCTGGTGGCTGGGACTGTGTCAGTCAGCTCCACAGGTACCAGATAAACAAAATATTACATGGGTAGTGTCCTCCTAGTCCTGTTCCCAAGACTATAAATTGGGGAGTTGCATCAAGAAGCTTGAGCTCTAAATTCAGCTTTAATCATAATATTTGTGACTTTGAAATATAAGCAAGGCAGAATATAAAATTTACACAGAAAGGATGACATAACGAGGTAGTTCAAATGCAGAGGCACTTTAATGGTAAAAGCACCATCACCTCTAGAGTTCAACCTCGACTTTGGAACAGCCAAAAGCATCTGAGGCTGTAATTTGACTCAAAAATTCAGTATTTCTGTTTTGGGCCCTGGTCTCCTTTAGAGGTGATCAATAAAATAATGCACTAAAAGCATTTTGAGCTAGCTGAAGGTGACAGACTAACTTTTTATTTTTACCAAATTGAAGGGTTTGCTTTAATCTAGCCTAGAGAAAACAAAGCCATAGATGACTTTTTCTACGTCAGATTATGAGAGCATTGTTTTGATCTTGGCAATGGGTCTTATCTTATGTAGAGCTTTAAGGGTGTGTTTGTATTGCAGGTACCCGTATTCTGCTGAAAGACACCTCCATTTTGCCAGACATCCCTGGACTGCCTGCACTTGTAATGATGCTCTTCACTCCCATCATGGAGCTACGGTTGGTTAAGTGTGCATTACCGCTGCACATATATGTACAGAAACTCACATTCTTATTTACCTAACATGTTTATTTTTAGCACTGATGAAGAGAGAACCTGCTACACTGGGGCACTCTGTGGCTTAGGCTTCAACAGTCAGAAACAGGAGGCCATCCTGCCTGAACATGACATCGAACTGTCCTTTGATGTGAAGATTGATGTTGACGACATCACTGAGGTAAATTTAACCTCAGAGACCGTTGTGTAAAATCATTAAAACAGCCACTCAAAGGATTCTGAATAGAAATCTTTGTGCATGTTTGAATAGTCGGTGTCATTTAGGAAGGTTCCTACATGGCAGGCATAATAAGAGTTTTTCAGTTCTCCAAATATTAAGAACGGCTTGCTGTGTGTGCTTCGGTGTTGGGGAAATTTTAGTAACACTAACCATTATGTGTAAGTATGTGTGCACTTTACTCATGCAGTTTGCTAACATTTGCTAATACATTAGCTCTCCACCCTTTCATCCAAATGTGATCCAGATGTGGTCATTTCTGTCATTAGTGCTAATGTTGAAGCTTGAAAATAGAGTTCTAAACTACTTTTTATACAGTTTGTAGCTATGCTGGCAGTGGTGTGTGTGGATGGTAGTACTTCACTTGTTTGTTTAAATGATGTGGCACCTGATTGATTCTTTGTTTTCAGATAAATGCTCTACGAATGGCTATAAACCACCTCGTGTGCGAAGGCCCCAATGGCACTCTGCATCTGGGGACTGACAGGATCAGCCAGCTGCAGGAGGACTGTCGGGACCGCCTCATCAGGTCTGATATAGATACATACTGGGGTTGTTCCTGGCTCAGGTCTTTGAGGGGTCGACATGCACAATTGAGGTGTGTGTGTGTGTGTGTGTGTGTGTGTGTGTGTGTGTGTGAGTGTGTGTGTGTAATGAGGTCATTAATTTAACGCTATA